GTATATCACGTGAGAGGTCATTCGTCATCGAGCGAAGTTCACGTAGAATGTCGTCTTCCACAGTTAATAGTTAGACATTGTCTGTCTTTTTAGGAGGGCCAGGGTTAGATTCAAGGTCTCCGGATAATAAGAGAGCATTGGCACAAACAATGTTCCTAGATAGTATGGAAATACTGCCAAGAACAAGCAATGTTGAAAGTAGCCGATAGCCTACATACATTCCGGGTGACCATCTTGTGGACGGGGTGTACCTGGCAACATGGCCGACTTGTTTCGAACCACGTGGAGGGCTAAAAAGTTATATTTTACTCCTCCACTGTTCCACAGATACCCCCATGTCGCTCACGACGATGCAGAAACTGTTGCAGTACCTATTTGTGCTTCTGGTGTTGTAGCCAACTTGAAGTACATAGGGAAAAAGATCGTAGGTCCCTGTTTCTGTAGAGAGCTCGTCCAGAGCACGACTTGGTAGCTGCAAGGGCGGTAACTCCAATTTTATACGGTGTTGTGTAAGAGATGGTTCATCTCCCTCGACGTAGAGACTGTCAACAGGAGAATTTCTAAAGGATCCAAGACAAAGTCTTAGACCTTGGTGATGAACAGAATCTAAGAGCTTTAAGTTGCTTTTGCAGGCTCCACCATATATGATGGAGCCATACTCAAGTTTGGAACGGACCAATGATCGATATAGGTGTAGGAGAGTGGCTTGATCCCCTCCCCACTTAGAATTTGAAACAACTTTCAACAAGTCAAGTACCTTCAGACATTTAGTTTTAAGGGATTTAATATGCTGAAGAAACGTTAATTGAGAGACAAAAATTAAACCCAAGAACTTGGCGTCCTTAACAACTTTGATGGGAGAGCCATTTAGAAACAGTTCAGGGTCTTTCCACGTAGTGTCATATGCTTTTTCTAGATCAAAAAGGATAGACACAGCGTGCTGTATATTAATTAAAGCGTTTTTAACAAATGATTCTATACGCACCAAGTGACCGACAGTACTTCTGTTTTTACGGAAACCACATTGTATATCTGTTATTAGGATATTTGTTTCCAAGTACCAAACAAGTCGATTATTTATCATGCGTTCCATGGTCTTGCAAACACAGCTAGTTAGTGAAATTGGCCTATAATTGACAGGATGAGTATGATCACGTCCAGGTTTAGGTATGGGCACAATTATAGCATCATGCCACGACGACAGAAATTGTCCAGATGTCCAAATGTCATCAAACATACGTAAGAGCGTCTCTAAACATGATTCAGGTAAGTGTTTCAGGAGTTGATAATGTATACCATCAGCTCCTGAAGCAGCATCGTGAGCTTGGTCAAGAGCAGTATGAAGCTCATGTATCGAAAAGGTTTCATTGTAGTCTTCCCCATTGTCTGAATTGAAATTAAAAGATTTCTTTTCTTGCTGTCTTTGATATTTCTGGAATTCAGGTACAAAGTTAGATGAGGAAGAATTTTTTTTTATCCAAAGTTTCTCCAAGTTTATTTGCTATGTCAGATTTATCAGTTAATAATTCATCTCCTACTTTGAGATGCTTAATGCTAGATTTAGAGCCCTTACCTTTTATTTTCTGGATCATGTTCCATACTTTTGATATCGGCGTGCACGAATTGATGTTTGATACATAGTTTCGCCAAGATTGGCATTTACTTTGTTTAAAAGTACGCCCTGCTTTGGCGTTTACATTTTTTAATTTGTTTAAATTGTGGACCATAGGATGGCAACGGAAATAATGTTCAGCTTTCTTCCGTGCCTTGCGAGCCTGTTTGCATTCAGCGTTAAGCCATGGTTTACGTACATGAGGAACTGCAGAGGATTTGGGGATACACTTGTCAGCTATGTGTTTGACCTCATCTGAAAAACATTTTATGGCATCAGGAAGATCATGAAAAAGTTCAGGTTTGAGTTTGTCAGCACAGAAAGTTTCATATAAAGGCCAGTTAGCCTTCATAAAGTTCCATCTTGATGATGGAGGAACATAGGTCGTCGTGGACTGACCACTCAAATTCATTCAATAGGTCTGAGTCAGTAATCGATAAATCAAGAGCTGAATAAGTTCCTGTGCCAGGATGTAAATATGTGCTAGAACCGTCATTATATATGCATAAATCATTATCTGAACAAAAGTCTTCTAATAGTTTACCATTACCATTAGTAGTTGTATCACCCCAGAGAGGGTTGTGGCAATTTAAAGCTCCCATAATGATACAAGGTTTCGGGAGTTGGTCATATAAATTTTGAAGGTCAGTCTTCTGAACAGTTGAAGACGGTGAGATGTACAAAAAGCGTAATGTGAACGCAACGTTAGTCGTACGGCAACCGCCTGGACACTAGTATTAGTATAACAGGACTATGGATAACATCTTGTTTGATAAGGATCAAGGATCCTCCAGTGGCCCGATCACCTGGAGGTGAAAACGAATGGTATACATTGAAATGGCGTAAATCAAATGTATCCGTCTGTTTTAAATATGTCTCCTGGAGACAAATGGCTGATGGTGTGAAGTCCTGGACTAATAGCTGCAAATCATTGAAATTATTCCTTAGCCCTCTGCAGTTCCACTGTACAATATTATTAAAAGACATTATCTTTTGGGAGGATTTATTGGGGATCTACCCCGCACTTTTTTGGAGGGCGACAAGCTATGTGCCCTAGGATGGACGTTTTCAGATACGTCCATGGCCTCAAGAGATCCATATTTATTGTAAAGCTGAATTCTATTTTCCGATCCTTTTGGGGCTCTGCCACTTTGTTTTGCTTCGGTTTAGTTTTGCTTTTAACAATGTCTTGAGTATCAGATGAAGATTGAGACTGTGAACATGACTGAGAGGATGACTTATGATCAGAAGATGACTCTTACTGCTTTTCGGACGTACTAGGAAGTGATTCCGTAGTTTGAGATGATATAGCGGGATACAAAAGCTGTGGATTGTCGCCTTTGACCCAAGTGAAATTTGTTTGACAGCTTGTGGATGATGCATATACTTTAGGGCTTGATTCAGTTGGTGTTTTGGCTATTGAAGCATAACTTTCTGTAAGTTCAGATCTCTTTTCAAGTTTTTTGGCATCAGAAAAACTGATATTCTGGGTGAATTTGATCTTGTTGATTTGCATATGTTCTTTCCAAATTGGACACTCTTTTGAGAAAGATGAATGCTCTCCTGAACAGTTAGTGCATTTTTTAAAGGTTTTTGTACAATCTTCAGTTGTGTGTGTCTTCTCACCACAGTCAGCACACACAAAGGACAATGTGCAAGTATTTACACCATGTCCATACTTCTGGCACTTAAAGCATCTCAGCGGATTAGGAATGTAGGTGTCAACTTTAATTTTGCAATAACCTGCTTTCAGTGATTTGGGAGCAGTTGGTGACGAAAAGGAAAACAGATAAGTATTGGTCTGAACAGTTTCATTGTTTTTACGGATTGAAAAGCGTTTTACATAGAGTACACCTTGATCTTTCATTTCAGTCACGACGTCAAGTTCTGACATGTCAGAAAACAATCGATCACGATCTCTGATGATACCTTTGCTTGTGTTTAATGTCTTGTGAGCAGAGACAGTGACCGGAATGCCGACAAACGATTCAGTGCTCAACAGATTGGCTGATTGCTGCCGTTTCCCGCACTCAACCAGTAACGCCAAATTGAGTAGTTGGAATTCTCAGTTCCAAAAATTCACCAAGACTTTAAACATATAATTGTATAATTCTCAAAAATTTGGTGCAATAGTACATACACGTAGCACGGGGCTTGGCGTGACCAGCCGATTGATAGAACCAGGCCAGTTCTACCACCCGTCTAGGTGAAGTAAGGGGCGAAGTGGTGTGTTGGGCGCATGAACACTGTTCCTGGAACCAGTGCCCTCAAACCACCTGACTCCCGTCCTCCACCGACACAGGGGCGTAACCCACGGCAAACGGGTTGGTGGACCAAATATACCCCCGGGTCCACAACGGGGGTTTGAAGAGCGCTTAGCGTTACCCAGCACCCACCACGAGGAGGTGGCTCTTCACGGGTGCCAAACGCAAAATGAACAGAAATCACGTGGTATATTCAGAGATGAAGTAAACATGGCAAACAAGTTCGAATTCTCATTTTGTAGTGCTTATAACCATGGTCGTATGACTCAAACGAGCGATCATTTTCACTCATCAACATATCAATCAGTTGATTCTTCCATGTTATCAAGAAGAACAGTGTACTGAAACTTGATATAAGCTCAGTGACGGGTACACGTTCGTGATGCTCGTCTTTGGCCATAGCATTGGCATATCTAAAATCCATGTATGGTTCCCGGAAGGAACAAAATGATCATACAAAAAAGGTATCAATATATAGAGGATATTATATGAGTGCCCTGTCATACTATGCTTACGATAAGTGTGCCTATATGTCGGTATTTCCTACGAGGGATATACTGATATTTAGGCACGAGTGTCGTAAACATAGTATGATATAGGCATGAATATAATATTCTATTTATTACCGAAGTTGTCACATTAAGGAAAATATATATATCTAAATCTACTTTCAAAGATAGGCCCGCTATCCGCCGTCGTCGCATGTAGGACCCAGCGTCATAGAAGAAATGTGACGTCATAGCATTGTTCATGACGTCACATCACCATGACAAAGTGGTATTTTGCTCCTGGGCATCGTATGATAAATATGAACCCCTGTATTTTAGGTAATGAAAATTGATATACTATGGTTAAAAATCAGAGGTGTTGCGATACTATTTCCTTGTGTATACAATGCAAACCGCGCTCCACTAACAGCAGTGTGGCTCTAAAATATTCTCGCTGACTAAATGACGCCCTCTTATTGAATAAGCGCGTCTGCAGTGTAGGTGTGCCCGTAACCTGTTAAATTGAAGCAGTGCGACAAATCACAACGCGAAATATTCTTATTTACCTCCTGGATTGTCGAGGTTCAAATAGCTACCCGCACACTCTGCTCCCTATAGTCGGTGTACATGCACTCTGTATGAGACATCCTGGTGACAGAACAGGATTGGAGTCAGACGTATCAGAGGTGTTGGGGGCAGCTAGTGTAGAATGAAGATACACTTTCTCCTCTTGGTAGTACTTCTGGGGATCCTTGTCGAGTTCAGCGTCCAATGGTCTGGGTAAGTGACTTCTACCTTGGACACTTGATACTGTCGCAATGACAATTACCGCAAACAATAACTGCAGCATAGCTATGTGCCATATGAATTCACGGAAATGCTTTTTTTATGTCTACTTGTGTCGAATTAACGAATGTATGTGCTATAAAGCGAAATGAAAGCAAATTGTTATTGGGAAAAGCGCAGTAATTTATGAAATAATGGAATTGAGACATATTATGTAATATTTTAACGTTGCATAACAGCGTTGCCGACCCTCGTATACTAACGAAATATATAATAAAGTCACATTATGCTGGTGATTTGCTTTCACGTAACTTAGGAGTCTGAATGTTCTGAACTTTGGTGCAAATGCCGATAATTAGGGAGCACCAAACGTGTATGACATTCAGTTGCATTGGCTGAGTTGGCAGCCTCTTGGAAAGACATTCAGCGAGGATCATCATTGATTATCTTGGTGATTTGAATAAAACACTGCGCCAGGTAATCAGTATGTGCTTACATGTGCGCTGAGTGCACCACTAGAATAACACCATTGGTATCATGAGACACCTACTTTCAGCAAAAGTGAATTTCAGACCAACACATATTAGGACAATGGGATTCGGATTCCATGGTTACCATGAATTTTAATTGTAACACAAGAATTATTTCTTGTCCTCGTGCAACTAGATATTGATTTCCAAGAAAGGTTACATGAGTTTCTGAATACATGTGGTTAAGCATCTTTAAGGTCAAAGGTTCAAAATTCTAAATTTCAAAATTTCTCACCAGAAACTACGTTGTTCTTAGATTTTTGTCATTTTGGCATTATATTGGGCATAAAGTTCGTGGGCCTTTAACACAATCTTAGAGCATTGGCACAAAGACATGTTTGAAATAAGTCTGTTGGAGCATGTTTAGCCATATCTGGTCAGCCATCTTAAGTTTGCCATAATAACTTAACACATCCAAGGAAAAGTAAAAGTACAAAATGTCCCAAAAATCAGTCTTGGCTAATAATGTTTAGAAGTGAGTGATGCTGTTTTGTCCCCAAACCTTAATGTTGGCACCTTTGAAGTATAAACAACGTTTATGGATATGTGCGCTATCTAAATATCCTATAATAATAACAACCTCTCCATGTGCTGGATTGACTACAAGAAAGCATACGAGTCTGTCCCTCATGAATGGATTCTGAAGTATCTTCGTTGTATTGACCTCCCGGAACTCGATTTACTCAAGTCTTTAATGAGTTGCTGGTCGACTCAACTTGTGATGTGCTTGCAAGGGCAGGTGCAGACTTCGGAATCTATTCCAATCAGAAGGGGGATGTTCCAGTGGGGCTCCTTCAGTCCTTTGCTTTTTTGTTTGTCTCTAAATATTTTGGGCTTTCTGCTCAATAGATAGGAGGGTTTCCATCCCGGACCTCATCAGCACAGACCCCAACACCACTTTCTCATCTCCTTTACATGAAGATGGACATCGAGCTCCTTGCCAAAGGAGATACCAATTTGAAAGAACCGGTTCTCCTTGTCGAGTCCTTTTCTCATGGCATTGGCATGACATTTGGATTCGACAAATGTAATCTGAAACGTGGCAAGGTAGTTAATGGTGGATCAGTCAAGTTACAGGGGGGAGGAGTTATTGAGCATCTTGTGGAACATCAGGCCTACACCTATCTTTGGATGCAAGTTCGACACAAGCTCCAGAATGTCCAGAATCAAGAAAAACTTCGGGCCGAGTATAAATCTCGTTTAAAGAAAATCTGGAGTGCAGAGTTAAATGCTCGAAACAAGGTCAACGCCACCAATACTTTTGCTGTGCCAGTCCTTTCCTATTCCTTTGGAGTACTTGATTGGACAAAGCAAGATATCCAGAGTCTTGAGCGCCTGACCAGAAGGATCATGTCTGATAACAGAGCCCACCACCCTCGTTCCTCTCTCAATCGTTTATATATGCCAATCAATTCTGGAGGTCGGAATTTGATTAATGTGGAGGCTTTTCATGATAGAAATTTATTGTGTACTTTTGCACATATGAATTTATCGGATGATTCTCTGGTGATGCATGTCAAGACTCATGATGAAAGCAAGGAATTCCACAGCTATCTTAGGTGTGCCAAGGTTGTTGGACAAAATCTTAAATTTGATGTTAATTTTGTTGATGGCGATGTACTGCTGGACGGTACAGCGGTGGGAGTAAACCAGGTGAAGTCATTCACCAAGTCTGCCAAGATTCGGGCATTTGTTGAGAAGCTTTCTGAGAAACCACTGCATCATGTGTACATGCAGTGTGTACAACAGAATAGCAATCCAACCGACTCCTTCGCCTGGATGAAGTCGCCTGGTCTCAAATCTGAAACTGAGGGCTTCTTTTTTGCTGCTCAGGACCAGTCACTTCCCACTCGTAATCGCACAAATGTGATTCTGACAGAAAATATTAACATGAAATGCCAACTGTGTAATGAATTTACAGAAACTGTCCAACACCTTGTTAGTGGATGTCCTTCCTTGGCACAAACAGCATATCTTAAACGACAGGCTGACATGGCTCGTTGCTTTTACTATCGTCTTCGCCATGCCTGTGGCTTTGATTCCGAGGTCCGTCCATGTCCAGGGCGTCATGGAAAATGATGGTTTTAAACTTTTGTGGAATAGGCCCATATATAGCCTCAGAAGAATTCCTGCCAACAAACCACTTTGATAAAGCAAATGAATTTATGTATATCATTGAATTTTCTGTCCCTTTTGACACCAATGTGATTGGCAAGATTCAGGAAATGCATAGTAAGTATGCGGACCTCGCCTTTGAAATGTCTCGATTGCATCCCAAGTACACTGTCGTCAGGCTCCCCATTGTTCTCGGTGCCCTTGGTTTGGTACCCCCTGATCTCTTGGCACAGATCAGGAGAGTGCCCGGGTTCACCACTGGGAGTACAGCCCTTCTGACACTCTGGGTAATGCAGAAGGCTGCAATGTTGGGGAGCCTTCATATTCTCCAGAAAGTTCTTGATGGGTTCGACTAGGCTGCGTTTCCTGGGAGAAGTCCCATTCGCTGTCTGGGCTGCAAGGGCCCTGAGCTGATGATGAGCCTTACCAGCCTGACTGCCAGGATCATCCGAACCCTCTCTGCTGCATTTTCATCTTTAATCTGTAAAATATAATAATAATGCAAAGACAGAACCACGCTATCACGTTGCCCTGCTACACCTTCATCGACAAACGGTCATTTACAACGAAATACTTTAACTGACTAATGTTTAGCGGGGATTGTAAGTTTAGAACAGCATCGTTCGTTTAATATGCAAGTTCAATACAATTTGACACTATGGGAGATAATGGGGAAACCAATGACATATTTGCAACAAGGATCGACGCCCGGCGATGCTCCAGGCCTTCGACATTGGTGACAGAGTCACCCCAGTGGATGTTGAGGATGGTGCGGAGACAGCGCTGACGGAAGCGCTTGAGAGGTCGCAGATGCTGGCGATAAAAGACCCACGACTCAGAGCCATAGAGTAGTGTGGTGAGAACAACGGCTCTGTACACTCTCGTGGTGCAGACTGGTGGAGGACTTCCGTCTTGTTCAGGTTGACCTCAAGCCTAAAGGGCTGGGCATACCCTGCAAAGCAGGATGTCAAATGCTGCAAGGTTATTTGTGTGTCAGCAACGAGGGCATCATCATCGGCAAATAGGTGGTCGAGGATCAGTTGCTCCAGGGTCTTTGTGTGGGCCTGTAATTGCCTGAAAGTGAAAAGACTACCATTGACGAAATAGTGGATATAGACACCGTCTTCATCGTCAAGGTCCTATGTGGCCTGCTTTAGGATCATGCTGAAGAAGGTGGCGAAGGGGCGGTGCCAGGATGACCACAGCTGGATGACCATGGTGAGGAAAATTGGGTGACAGCCGAGACATTCCATGATTTTCCACAGGCCTTGTCTGTTCACAGTGTCGAACGCCTTGGTCAGGTCAACGAACGCTATATGCAGTCCTCTGCTCCTGGCATTTCGCTTGGTGCAGCCTGAAGACGAACACCATATCTGCAGTACCCCTTTTGGCTCTGAAGCCACACTGGCTCTCTGGGAAGTGGTCTCCAGCTATGGTGTTCAGGAGCACCCGTGCAAGGATTTTTCCCACGATAGAGAGCAGTGTTATTCCCCGGTAGTTGGTGCCGTCTGACTTTTCGCTTTTGTATTTGTACAAGGTGAAGATGACTGTATCACGGATTATCTGGTGATAGTTTACTCTGCTCCCAGCAACAGACAATGGAGCTTCTTGAGTAGTGATGTTTCCCCATGGTTCTAGTAGATTCCAATCAATTCTAGCTGCCTTGCCACTCTTCAGCTGTTTAGTAGCATGGTGGTCTCTTCGATGGTGGGTAGCTCATCCAGTTCAGTTTTTATTGGATGTTGAGGAATGAGGAGAATTGCTGAGTCCTGGATGACTTGGTTAGTGCTGAAGAGAGTTGGAAGTGTTGAAAGCTCTGTAATCACCAATGTCTGTGCAGAGTTCAGTTCTCTCTGCGAGGTTGGTCCACTCATTCTGGATCTCTTGAGGCTTGCACTGGAAGTTACTGCACACAAGACGGAAGGTAGATTTCTTCTCGGACAAGATGGTTGTGTTAGGTGGGCCTGGTGAACCGATCTCTTCTTCGCTAGCACTTCAGGTATCCTTGGTTGTTTTCATCAAACCAGTCTTTGTTCTTCTTTGGGGTGAACCAAAGGACTTCTTCAGATGTCTGCAGGATGGTTGTTTGCAGATGTTTCCTCAGTGTTTCAGGAGATGTTTCCATAGCTGGCCCTGTAGACAGCTTCCACTTCAGCTGTTTTGAGATTGCTGAGCTTGATTTTTTTCTTTGGAGTCCCTTTGGTTTTGGTTTGAAGTGAAGCCTTGAGTGAAGACGACGGTCAGTGTGACATTCTGCGCTGGGCATCAGACTTGTGTGTAGGACGTCTTTGAGGTCACTCTGGCACACTAGAATGTAATCGATGAGGTGCCAATGTTTGGACCATGGAT